AAAAAAAAAAAAAGCAAAGCCATTGAACCCATGGTATACTGCCATCGCCGTCATACATATTCATCACACAAAGGCGAAACTATGGCAATGCTGTGGGGTATTTGAAAACGGAAATCGAAGAGAGAACACAAAATTCAGAAATCAACTCTCAAGTGTTCGTGCGGCAGCCTCAAGCTGCGCGTTGAACGCCTTGATCTGGTTTAAGAGTCCCCCTTGGGCTCCAGGGGCGCGGGAGCTCACGTTGTCCGCAACACTACGGAGCATGAACTCCAGCCCAACGGTCAAGGATGGTTCGGACGAGCCTGAGTCATCTGGCTCGCCTGCAGGCCGGTTCTGGCTGCGTTCAAGGGCTAGATCTAGACTGTGTAGGGAATTGTTGATGTTGGTGCGCGCCTGGTATGGTGTTAGCTACAGGGGGTCAGGCGACAATGGTATCGTTGCGTAGGCCAACTTACCTGGCTTGCATTTTCCTCCGCCGAGTGCTTCCTTCGGACTGCATCCATCTGCAGTGCCACGCTCTCCCTTTCTTTTCGTAGTTGATACAGCCGACTGCGCATATCCATCATTTCCCGCTTGGCCTTTTTCAGTTTGACCCCTAGTATGAAGTTACTGTCGAGCATTTCGCTTAGTTCGAAAAGGCATCCTTCGAGCTCGGTGCCGAATGCTTCCACAGCTTTTTTCTTGGTGGTCCACTCTGAGCGCCGTGCTGCATTTCCCTCGTTGGAGATTCCGTTTTTGAGTGTTGTGAGCGTCTTCTCTAGTGTTTCTCGGCAGATTTGGCTAAGAACATCGGCGACATTTACGCCTCCCCTACTAGGGAGTTTGGTTTTCTGTCTCGTCGCGAGCTCATCGGCAGAGTCTTCTTCTTCCTCCTCCTCGTCGGACAGCTCGGAAGGTTGAACATGACCTCCAAGCGAAGCGACATTAGCAATACGATGGACTGTTACAGGAACCGTCTCTCCACGAGGCTGTCTGGGCTTCCTTCTAGTGGTGCGAGAAGCCTCCTCCCCATTTTCATTCTGAGCCGCAAGGTCTTCCTCACGGTGGGTGACTTCAGGACCCTTATGGGATAGTGACGGTCGGCCGCGACCACGTATAGGAGCTGAAGCTGGCTCTGCGGGGGCTTCGGGTTGGCGCTCTGGTTCTGGCTCCGGCACTCGCTCCTCTTTTGGCCTTCTTCCTCGCTTCCTCTTTTCGCCGGCTGGTTTTGGCTCCTTTGAAGACACGGGGTCAGGCTCAGCCTGAGTCTCCCGTTCCGGTTCTGGTTCTGGCTCAGGCTCTTCGGGGACTTCGGGTTGGCGCTCAGGTTCTTGTTCCAGCTCTCGCTTCCCTGTCGCCCTTCTTCCTCGCTTCCTCCTCTCGATAGCTGGTTCAGGCTCTCTTGAAACTTCAAGCTCGGGCTCCACCTCCGGTTCTGGCTGGGACTCCTGATCTGACCTCTTTCTCCGTTTCCTCCTTTCGGCAGCTGGCTTGGGTTCTTTCGAGACCTCGGGCTCGTTCTGGGGCTCGTTCTGGGGCTCGTTCTGGGGCTCGTTCTGGGGCTCACTCTGGGGCTGTGACTCGGGCTCGGGCTCGGGCTCCTCTTTTGACATTCTTCCTCGCTTCCTCTTTTCGCCGGCCAGTTTGGGCTCCTTTGGACCTTCTGATTCAACATCCAGTTCAGGCCCAGGCTCAGACGCCAATCTTCTTCTCTGTTTTCTCTTTTCACCGGCTGGCCCTAGTGCCTCCACACTTTCCGGCAGCTCAATAACTTTCTTGCCGGGATGCCCAACTTGCTTTTGTATGTCATTCGTCCCCTTTGACTTTTGACGCGACTGGCGGATCCCTTCAGATGTAGCCGTATCATCTTCCTCCGGCACATTACCCTCGTCCAGAAGCTGGCCATTTTGCGTTTCACTGGCAACAGAATCTGCTGTCGGCTCTTTTGCTTTTCTGCCCCGAGACCTTTTCGTTGTCGGTTGTTGGGTCGGTATGCTCTCGCCCGGCGTGCTTTCTGCCGAGGCAGCCTCATTCTGCGCGCTCCCTTCATCCATTGCTGGGGATGATTGTGCTGATGTTCGGGGCCGGCCTCTGGACCGTTTCCCAGGCTGTGATTTGAGAGTGCCCGCTTCCATGGATTTATCAAGATTCGTCTCCAATAATGGTTCCTGTGGCGCTAGATGCTGTGCGCTCTCAGCCTCCGTCTCCGGCCGCTCAATACTCTGGAACCGTCGCTGGCCGGCACTGGACCCTCGTCGTTTACGCTTGCCATTCGTGGTGTCTTCGAGTTCCGGCGTTCCATCAGCCCCGGATGATTCTTTCTGGGGCTCTGTGGGCTTCTGATTCACGCCGTTTTGATCTGGATGTTCATCCTCCAGGATGGCCGCCTCGGCTGCTGGGTTGTCCGACACCATCGCGGTGGTTGGATCAAGCGTTTCTTTGGGCGTCTGCTCCGTCTGGCCTACATCTGTAGTATTTTGCATGGTCAAGGGTTCGTCGCGTGGTTCCGTAGGTTCGTTAGGCACAGGCGCGCTTGTCTGAACGCCATTTTGGAGAGCCGGCGAGTCTCGTTTTTCCTGTTGCGTGACTTCTGGCTCGACGGATACTCTCGGGCTCTGGCCAGGGGGCTCTATAATGACGTTAGATAGTAAGTATGGCCATAGCATTATTCCATGCACGTACCGATCTTCCTTCGCTTGCCGCTTCGCCCAAGGTCCAACGCATCATCTTCCGGTATGTCGAATGTTGAGGGTCGCTCGGGGAGTGAATTACGCGCCCCGCCTGGAGTTCGGAGCTGTCCACTATCTTGTGATGATGGAAGCTGCTTTTCTGGTGATAACAAAGGTTGCGTATTCTCCGAAGTTGAAGGTGGCGGTGGTGCGGCGGGGGGTTCGATGGAAATGTCAACATCGACGGGTTGCGACGCGGCTTGTGGCGGCTCTTCAGGCGGGGGAGCGAGACCAAAAGAGAAGCCGAAATTCACTTCCTTGATCTTGCGTGTCCTATTATGATTTGCAACGTCAGCTCTTCCTTGTCTTCTTCAATCGGTCGCGGGGTAAGACCAGCGCGTACCCAGCGCCGCGCTGCCGCATTTGCAGCCGCTCCTCTCGATCTGCGGGTTCGTTAGTTTTGAAAATAGATTCTTAGCGACTTCATTAAGGGGTGCATACTGGAGGCCATGATCGAGAAGCGGCGCCTCGGCGAGCTCAACGCGCAAATCTACGCGAGATTTAGGTGTAAAGGTCCAAGGAGGTGTTGCGCCGAATTCAATGATGGAGCGTGTACTCCGTAATCGATCATACTTTCGGGGATGCTGAGTTACCCAAAATAGTTTGGTCCTTCTGGTTCGGGAAAAGCGTGGCCTCGATGCTTGGCAGCAACTAATGCGTAAAATATTCTCATTGAGTATATAATTGAGATTTATGTGATGATCTTTAAAGAGTATATCGGTGACCATAGTTGGTAGAAAGAGATCCTTTAAGAAAAATAAATAATAATAAAAAAAATAAAAAGTGATAATGATAAAAAGAGCTAGTAGTGGACTGTATGGTAAGGCAATGGAGACTTGAATATATATTAATCAGCTTATAGTGCCGTTTATCTTTCAAGACTACTAGTGGTCATATGGGATCCAATGACTAGTAGTTGAGTCAGTGAAGAATGGAACAGACAACTGACCGAGCTGAACAGCCAAGCCTCTAGACAAGCATCTCTTGCAAGAACATAATATGGCGAGAGTGAATAGTTAAATCAGGGTGGACTTGGATTTCTGATAGGTAGTAATCCAGTTCAGCCAAAAACGGTTTGGTGTCTTTAGTCGCTCCGCCCGAGTCGATCACCCAAAGGAAGTTCAATCTTCTCCGCATATACTTTTCGGAATTTGGTTCTGGAAAGCCGAGAAATCCTCAATTGACACCACCAGTGCCACGCTGATCGAACAGGACTATTTCCAACTTGAGTTCTTAGTTAGTCCCTTGTCGCAATCATGGGTTGGTTTTGGGGCAACTCGAATCAGGATGACCCCGTCAAGAAGCTTGACCCTGGTCTCCGAGAATATCTCGAACATGAAGCCCCAAAGAAATACGTCCCTGCGACCTCAGGGCCTTCCGCGCAGGATCCGCTTAAGAAAGTAGATCCACATGCCCAATCAGCGCAACCAGCCGAAACCACCGAATCTTCGAAACCTGCTGTTCCTGCTGCCTCACTTTTCCCCGACGGCCGTTACTCCCATCTCTGGAAGACCTACAAACCGCCAAGCGAGGAAAACACTGAAGTGAAGGGCGCTTCCAGGGTGATTGAAAAGTACAAGTCACGCAATGATACGGTACACCGCGCAGCGATGGAGAATTGTGCATTGGAACATGAGGATTTGACACTGTGTTTCCAAAACGGTAACTTGCAGAAACGACTAATGTCTCGTATGACTCTGTGTTCCGAGGAGAATGGGAAATTCTCTCGGTGCTTTACTACTCAAGCTGTAAGTGAAGACCTCGCGGAACTTATCCCTTAGGCCTGTCTGCCTTCGTCGCGGCTGCTGCTGCTGGACAATTGCTCATGTGTGAGTAGAAATTCCTCCAGGCACTGGGCTACTCATCCTCGTTTGAATGGGATGACGAGAGAGAAGAAAAGATCCAGATGCATGCCGATAAGCTCTACCATGAGATGCTGGATTATGAGAAACAAGTGGAGGAGGCCCGAGCGGCTGGCCAGGAACCTCCGCCTCTCACGTCCCTCTTCAATCCCCAGGGAAAACCCCAACAGCAAAAAGCCGAAAATACCCCTGGCTCCCTGGAAATCCCCGGAGGCGAGGCCATTCCGCCCGGATTCAAGTCATCCAAGCCATTGGAACAACTCACACCACATGAACGCGAGCTGGAGATCCGAGCCCACTATGCACAACTGGAGCAACAGAAGATGTACGCGCAAGAGGCGTCTCCTTTCATAAAGACTCATGACGATGCGCGTCAGAAACGGCGAGAGAAAGCCGTAAGTTGGTTTGGAGAAACCGTAGGCAAATGGGTTACATAGAATTACAAATTGGCATTTGGTGGTTTTCATTCTTCTTGTATTATTATTATTATTATTATTATTTTGTTACCAAATACCTAGTCGGATTTGCACATGAGGTTGCATCTGTTGGAGGAGAATTGAATTGATAATGGTAGCGAGATATGCCAATATAAAATGGATCTGATGACTATCTGGATGTGTTAAATCAGAAGAAAAGAAAAGAAAAAAAGAAATACAGATAAAATAGAAGCAAAATAAAATCTATAACAAGAAGGTATTACCAAGTGCATCTGTACGCAGGAGGGTAGTAAGTAGTATATACAATACAACAAGTAAATAAATATCAAAGGATTAAATTGAACAGTTTGAAAGAGCTGACGGTCACGCAGTCGCTCATTTGTCGGGCGCGTTCGAGACACGAGATCGAGAGAAAGTCCGACACGGGGAAATGACGAACAGCCAATTCAAGTCGACATCACCACTTGCTCTTCCCTTCCTTTTTTTTTTTTTTTTTTTTCCCTTGGTACATACCCGAATTAAACCTCTTAGGTAATTCTACCGTTTGAAAATAACTTCCAACTTTAACAAACCCCCGACCTTCCCCATTTTGTGGCGGTTTTGTCGGCCAACGTCGTCCGTTGCCCTCTTCGTTACTCTGTTCCACGGCTCCTGATTAACCTCCGCGCAGGTCTTCCTTACTCCCTCTACTCTACCTTCTGACTGACCCTGCGACAACGACGACTACTCCTCCTCTCCCCTCACTTCTCTTTTATCACTACGTCTTTCTTCCCTGCGAAGCTCATTACATATCATACATCCTCTGGTCACCGTCCACCCATCTTTGGGGAGCCCATTGGAGCTCCCGTGCTCGCCATGAAGGCTACCCCGTTGCTCATCGCATGGCACAACGATAATGCCCCAATCTATTCGGTTCATTTCGACCCCAATGGCAAAGGTCGCCTGGCGACGGCCGGAAAGTATGATTCTATGCTCTGGTACTTGATTTGAAGACCTGGATATTAATATGTTCTCTCTATCTATAGTGACAACAATGTCCGCGTACGGTCCCC